CCCCTCCAGGAATCTTAACAGGAACTGCCAGAGTGAGTATTTGATATAGAACCAATAAACTGATGATCACACCCGCTGACGATCAGCTTATGTCCCTGCGTCCTGGTGCTTCGCCACACCGCACTTCCCTCGCATCCAGCCGTCCTGTCTTGTCCCCCTCGACCCCCTCCTCCTTCACGTCTAGGCCTCCATCGTGGCAAGACTTGAACAAACGCGTTGGATGGATCATGCCGAGGGTGCTTGTGAGTCTCTGTTAGAGTTTGGGCTTTGGCAGAGCGATTGCAGAACGAGTTGGCTAGGGAACCGAGTCGATCGAGGTCCGCCCCGAGTTGATGAGCGACCGAACCCTTTGATTCCTTGAACCGTCGGAACTCGATCCAATAAAAAGAAAAGGAAGAAAAAAAAAGAGACAAGAGGTGTGCTTGGTTGAATCGATCCATAAATGTCGGGTCTGCCTGCCCGACCTTCCCTCGCGGAGCACAGCGGTGTGGCCGCGAGGCCGCTCGATGCCCCCAATACGACCAGCAAGAAGAAAAGGAAGCACCGCAATCGCAAGCGACGCAATCGGCGACCCTCGTTCCTTGCCGCGGACGAGTCGGACTCGCGACCGGTCGTTGCGGCCGCGTCAGGGGCGGACGCCGCCCCGGAGACGAGAAGCGAACAGACGTTCTACAGGCTGGGCCAGGCGCTGAGCAGCACAAGTCTGGAGAGCGAAGCATTGTTGGATCACCGGTAATAATATCTGTCTTTTCTACTTTCTTTTCGGTCTATCCTATGACCTCAAGCTGGATGAATATGCTGATCAGTGTGGTTAGAGACCAGCCGATGATGCGTTCCCGGAGAGAGAGCCGGCTCGCTCAGTCGTTTCGTCCTGGCTCCGTGACCTCGACATCCTTCCACCCTTCCCATCCCTCCCCGGCGAGTAGGCCACAGCATGCAGAAGACAGTGATGCGTCAGATGCGGCCAACGACCACACGCCCTTGATGCGCGGCTCCTCCTACGGCCGCTATGGTGCCGACAGCATCACCAACCCTTTCGCCTTGACACGCCCGCGACGGGGCTCATCCGGCTCCCGGTCGCTATCATCATCGCGGGCCTCGCCGCGTGGGGGGGTGGGAGTCAGCATCGCCATGGAGCGTGACTACGATGTAAACAATCCGCCGTCTATTCCGGGTACACCAAAGCTGGGTCCGGAGATGGGCTATGACGATGCAGTAGTGACGGGGGCCGAGTTTGGCTTTTCAACAACCAAGTCGCTAGACACTGGTCGGAAGGACTCTCTCCCCCGCTCGCACGACATGCTAATCGATGTCGACGACCACGACCTCGACCACGGTATTGTCCAGTCGCCCCCACTGACCACGACGGGGAGTACGAGTCCGCCGCCCGCCACGCTGCCGGATACGCTCCGTCGACGGCGGACGGTGACTCTTCCCGTTGAGGAAGACGTGTGCTTCCCCACGGGGATCTCGGAACTGGCAGACGACGAAGGAGCTGAAGGGCCACGGGCGGCGAGAGAGGAAGAGGAGTTTTCTCGGCGCCGGGGCTCCCGGCGACGGCGCGAATGGCCGGACCTGGCCGTCTTGGAGGAATGGAGCCGCGAGGAGAAGGAGGAGCGTCGGGGCGACCTGCGGGTGAAGAAGATCAACGAACCGATGCTGGTTGAGGGCCGGCTGCGGCCGCAGTACCGGCTATGGCGACGTGAGGAGGACGAGGCGCCGTACCGCTTCACCTACTTCAACGAGGAGTTCCAGAGCACTATCCACGCGCAGACCTTCTCGGAGCTGGTGCAACCGGGCGGTAGTTTCCGGGAACTGTTCATCCCGGATCCGCCAGAGCTGGAGGATGAGTCTGATACGGATGAGTCGGTCACCCACGAGAACACCACCAATAACATTAATAATACCAACACCACTGCTACTGCCACTGCCACTACCACTACCATTAACAATCACAATAATAATAACAATAACAATGTTGGCATTCCCGTGAATCACCAAGGGAAGCCGCAACAGGCCCACCCGCGCGCGCTCTCCATCATCAGTGAGGCGGTCTCCGAGTCACGGCAGTCGTCACAGCCGTCACAGCCGTCGTCGGACGACTCATCGCGACGGCGGCGGCCTGCAGGCACCCGGGCAAAGCGATACGGTCCACGGCCAACGTTCTGGCTGGACGTCCTTTCCCCGACGGACGCGGAGATGCGGGTGATGGCCAAGGCGTTTGGGATCCACGCGCTGACGGCAGAGGACATCATGATGCAGGAGGCGCGGGAGAAGGTCGAATTGTTCCGGCATTATTACTTGGTCAACTACCGGACGTTCGAGCAGGACCCACACAGCGACAACTACCTGGAGCCCGTGAACATGTATGTGGTTGTTTTCCGCGACGGAGTGCTTTCCTTCCACTTCTCGCAGACGCCGCACCCGGCCAACGTGCGGCGGCGCATCCGCCAGCTGATGGACTACCTGATCCTCAGCGCAGACTGGATCTCGTACGCGCTGATCGACGATATCACGGATGTGTTCGGGCCGTTGATCCAGGCGATCGAGGACGAGGTCGACGAGATCGACGAGATCATCATGCAGATGCACGCCCCCGGGAAACAGGAGCAGCAGCAGGAGGTCGTCGTCACGTCGTCGGGCGGCACCGTCACCACAACCACCGCCGTCGCCCCCGGCGAGATGCTGCGCCGCGTGGGCGAGTGCCGCAAGAAGGTGATGGGCATGTACCGCCTGCTGAGCAACAAGGCGGACGTCGTCAAGGGTTTCGCCAAGCGCTGCAACGAGCAGTGGGAAGTGGCTCCCAAGTCCGAGATCGGTCTGTACCTCGGTGACATCCAGGACCACATCATGACCATGACGAGCAATCTGGCCCATTACGAAACGTAAGTAATTATCGTTACTTTTTTTTTTTTTTTTTTTTTCAAAAGCTCATTCCCCCTCGCTGATACAATCCAGTATCCTCTCGCGCGCCCACTCGAATTACCTGGCGCAGATCAACATTCTGATGAACGAGCGCCAGGAACAGACGGCTGACGTGCTGGGCAAGCTGACGGTCCTAGGTACCATCGTGCTGCCCATGAACATCATCTGTGGTATGTGGGGGATGAACGTCAAGGTTCCCGGGCAGGAGATCGACAATCTGTGGTGGTTTTGGTCCAGTACGTCCATGTCACGCCTTCTGCTTCAGGATCTATAAGTCTTCTGAAATTCCCACTGACCTCCCTCTAGTCACTGCCGGGCTCTTCGTCTTTGCTTTTGCCTCGTTCTATATCGCCAAACGAGTGTACAAAATCGTCTAGGATTGTCTTTTAACTAATGGCTCTTGCTGTCTTCTACATCTTTTCTCTCTCCTATAGAGGTCTGTCTACCCAGGCTGCGAACAGCCTCGCCTTTTTTTTTTTTTTTTTTTTTTTTCTCTATATATCTCTCTCTTTACTCACTTGGTGGCATCCTCCTATATATTTATTTGTACATAGAATAGACATAGACTTTGTGTACTATCCTGTCAATCAATGAGGTCATTGTGATGATGGTATGGTGATGTATCTGTATTACGGCATATTGCCAGATATTACCAGATCTGCCGTTAAACTTCTGGTACCTTCTTGGCATACCAGTCATTCTTACCGTATGGCTGTGACACATCACGGGTTTCCTTCCACTTTCTCCCTCTCTCTCTTTCTTCCCTCCCTCTCATTCTCCCTCTCGCCTTCACCAGTTCCCCCTCCCCCAGCGCCCATTCCATCGCTTCCATCGCCAATTCCGTCGTTTCCCATCGCTCCGCGTCCTGTCTCGCCATCCATCGTTCTCCACGACGCCTTCTACGTGGGCCACACTCATTGGCTGCCACTTCCGACCCCTTGCCGGGCCAGAACTGACCGCCACGAGATCGCACCTTGGTGGAGCACACAGAAGGCAGACCAGAAGCAAGAGAAGCAGATCAGGCAGAGTGGGAGAGACGAGCCCGTCAGACAAACGGCGAGATAACACCCTGGGACTCTGGGTGACTGGAGACGACGCTGCCAGACCCGGAAACCCCCAAGCCAAACACTATGCCGCTGCGTCGTCGGTCCGTGTAACGTGTCGTGCCACCAGAACCACAGCTCAAGCCTACGAACCCGCCAAAAAAAAAAAAAAAAAAAAGAAAAAGAGAGAGCGAGCGAGCGAGCGCGCGCTGCGTTCTAATTTATTTAATCTATTTTTTTGAGAGAGGGAGAGAACCCCATATCTCCTGATACCGGTCAGCCAACCGCACCGTCCGCCATGGCCGCCGGTTCGACCGCTGCTACTCCTACTAATACCCGCCCGGCCTCGCCTGCCCCGTTGCCCAAGCCCGCCGCCGTCATCTCCTCCTCCTCGCGCGAGCCCTCGCCCGCCCGCCGTCAGGTCTCCTCCTCTGTCTCCCGCAGCAGCAGTCCGTCTCGTCAGTCTGCCTTGTCGCTACCGCTACCGCCGCCGCCTCCGCCCGTGCAGCCTCGGCCCCGAGAAGAAGGAGAGGGAGCAGAAGACACCACCGACAACGACGACGTTGAAAATCAGAACGACGAGCCCTCAGATGCCCCGCCTCGGTCAGATCAGTCTTCCTCTTCAACCATGCCGCCCCGACGACCGACCGTGGTCAGACGGCCGGACCAGGAGCTGCCCATGCTTCCCAATATCGCCGGTAAACGGACGTCATCGGTCAGTGACGATAACCAGCAGCAACAGCAGCAGCAGTCGCGAGATCGTGGTACGAATAGCAATACCGTTCGACGGAATATCCCCTCCCCCGGTCTCGCCCTCGAAACCGTGCAGGAAATGGCCAGTGACCTCTCCACGCCGTCCGCCGACACCATCCGTGCAACCATCCCACCCCTCGTGCATAACTACCGGACCGATCAGTCCGTCGCCGACAGTGGCAGTGAAAGCAGCGAGAACAAGGGCTACAATAGCAACACTACCAACGACAAGAAAAGCAGCAAGAGTAAGAAGAACACCAACAAGGACGAGAAACGGCCCCCGCCACCGCTCGCCACCAAGTCGACCGGTGATATCCCGCCCAAGCGCTCCTTCACCTCGCTCAGCGGCGCCCGCGGGAAGCCTGGCGACGGCTCCGTCCGTAACATGATCGTCGAGACCGAGACCGTCAGCTCCATCCCTCAGGTCTCCCTCGGCGTCGTCCCCGCCGACCGCGGTGGCGCCTCTGCCCGCGCAGCCGTCGGCGGGGTCGACGGCGGGGGCACTCTACGCATGAAGCCTAGCACGGAGACCATCCGCCCGCGCAAGGAGAAACGCAAGACCCGGAAACCCACGACGCTCGCCGCTGGTGGCGCGTCCTCCAAGGCCGACATCTTCGAGGCTAAAGTCGCCAGTGCCGTCGACGAGGCCGACGTCTCCGATTCCGATGAGACCTTTGTCTATGAGTCCAACCCGCCCGATCCGTATCCGCCCGTACCACGCCAGCATCGCTACCATTCGCGTACCCCGAGTGCCACCTCCATGGCCAGCCAGGTCGACCAGCTCGCTCCGCGTGCCCGCGCTGCCCTGCGTGAGGGGACCTCCCAGGCCGTCACCGGCAAGAGAAGCATGAAGTTCACCAACAACCAGTACCCGCCGATCAGCGTCGATGGCGGCGACCCTGGTGACTCGGAGCCGGGCCGCCGTCGCAGCAGCTCTGCCCGCCCGGATGGCACCCACACGCCACGCTCCCACCCGCAGCAGCAGCCTGGTCACCATCATCATCATCACCATCATCGCACCACGCGCAACGGCATGTTGTACCCGTCTCTGTTCGATAGCGATGCGGCGCCCACATCTTCCTCCTCCGCTGCGACTGCTGCTGCTGCTGCTGCTGCCGCCGCCGCCGCCGCCGCCGGTGGCAGCGCTGCCGCAACCTCGCATCCCAAATCGCCCCGACACTTTATTGGCAGCAATGGTTTCCGGCAGTCGCGCCATCTGGGTGCCCGCAGCACCGTGCCCAACTACCGCACTCTCAATGGCACTACCATTACCCGCAACAAGCCTGGCGATGATGGGTACGGTGGCTACGACTTTGACGCCGAGGGCGCCGCCGATGATGAGCGCACCCCGCTTGTCGGTTCCTCGTCACGCATCCCGCGCAGCCGCCAGGGCCGCCGGCCCGGCAGTGCCAGTCTGCGCCAGATGGAATACATGCAGCAGCGCCGGCGCGGCTGTTTCTTGCGCCACGGCACCTGCGTCGTTGTCACTTTCTTCCTCTTGCTCCTACTCGCCGGCGCCGTCTCGTTCCTTTTCGCCATCTGCAAGCCCCTGCGTCAGGTTCAGGTCCTTGCCATTGAGAACGTGCTCGCCTCCGAGCAAGAGATCATGCTCGACCTGCAGGTACAGGCCATCAACCCCAACCTCTTTGCTGTCTCCGTGGACACCATGGACGTCAACATCTTTGCTCGCAGCCATTACGTTGCTACGGATCGCTTTGTCAGTGACAGTTATCTCGGGGACGATACAAATGCTGCAGCAATGCATGTGGCCGGTGGCGGCGTTGACAAGGGTACCGATCCGATCGAGCCCCCCGGCGATCCTACGGGCGATGCGCAGACCATGCTCCTGGGCCGGGTCTTCCACTTTGACTCGCCGCTGGCCTTCGACCCGTCCCCCTGGAACTATCGCAACGTCACCTCGACGGGCCAAATCCGGCTGGCGCGGCCCGGAAACAAGACCGAGGAAGGCGGCACAGAGCGCTGGGAGCGGGTGCTGCAACATCCCTTTGACCTCATCGTCCGTGGCGTCGTCAAGTACCAGCTGCCGCTGACCTCGATTGTCTATTCGGCCTCGATCAGCTCCAGTGTCAAGGTCATCCCGGAAGATGATGATGGCGACAGCAGTTCCGGCAGCGAGAACAAGACGGCTCTGATCCCTCGGGCTTTCACGGCGTAGACGATTTTCTCTATCCTTTGTCTTAAAACCTCATCCTGTACTTTTTGTATTTTTTCCCCTCTCCTACCCTTTCTTTTCTTTCAATCCTTCAGCGGTATCCATGTTTGCAGTATACCCATAAGCGTTGCATTGTCTCATCCATCCATCCATCCATCCATCATCCATATACATACTCATAGCCTGGCGGTTGCTCAGTTATTTGCATTCAGTCATACCTTTTTCATGACCTGATATGAACCCTTCCTTTCACAACCCATGTACATTGTGTTGGCTACTTTTGACAAGATCGATATAACTACATTGTTCTATCCATCTGGTTTCTTACCCTTACTATCATCCCACTGTCGCTCCTTAGAACCTTTCTATTCTCTCCTTTGTCTAAAAGTTGCTCTCTTACGGATACGATGATGAATATCTTTGGTTCCCCCCCCCTGAATGAACTTTTGAAAGAACCAAATTCAAGCGTGCATGCATCGGTGGCGTCGATCTTCTTCCCACGAATCCTTGAATCGTGTGCTCTGCCTGTTCTTCCATTCTTCCTACTGCCTCCCATCATCTTCTACGAAATTAGAGAGAGATGCGAAGTAGTAGCCTTGTTTATTTATATAGCTTGCTCAACTTATATATATATATATATACTCACACCCAGACGTGTTTTATTAAATACACAAATACTTGGATATAAAAATCCGGATGCTTCAAGATTTCCAAGCACCCCCCTTGATCTCAATCCAATATGGTAGAAACACAAATCTATCCTACCTTCGTAATGATCACAGTTTATTTATCTCACCGTGTGACGAAATGGATATTTTGCACACGCCCTCCATCCATTCATATTGCTATTTTC